ACAAACTGGGTCTTCCATGGAAACAGAAGTCCATCTCCCAAGGAGAGAGTCCATGCCCCCCCTGCTGCAAAACAAGCGGCATTTCCAATTTGTTCTTGTCTTAAATACATCCACCTCTGGGAATCCCCATGCCTTGAATAGGGGAAGTAAATATGTCATGTTGATCTCCCATTTGTGTAATGATGCCTCTCCTCTGCTCAGGCAGTCCACTTGCACATTTTGAACTCCTAGTAGATGCATGGCCAACAGAAAGGTCCCCCAGCTGATGCATGTGAGCCAAAGGTCCATTGCCAGCACACAAAGACTCCTGGATACCATGCCTCCCAGCTAGTTTACATAGCTGAGGACTGTAGTGTTGTCCATGAGCATGACAATCACGCTCCCTTGTAGGAGGGTTTGGAATGACTGAACCAAGAATCTGATCATGAGGAGCTCCAGGTAATTTATGTGGCAGCGTTGATATTGTGGATCACACTTGGCCCCTACACAGAGACCCCTTAGGTGAACACCCCATTCCCATAGGGAAGCGTCTGTAGTTAGGGTTTCCAATAGCACCAGGAGCTGGAATGGGGCACCTCTCAGAAGTTGAGAGAGTGCAGTATATGGGGTGGGACAAGAAGTGCTGTTAATTGATGTTGTCTCAACAGTCAAAAGCGTCTCAAGAACCACATCTGGAGTACGCACATGCGAAGCTTGACAAAGGGAAGGACTGTCGTCGTTGCTTCCATCATTCCTAGCAATTTCTGTATCGATAAGGCCGTTGTGCATGGGTGAGTTTGGACCCTTCATACTAGGGCAACTATAGCTGAAGATCTCTCTTCTGGGAAAAAGGCTTGACTGGCTGTGGAGTTGATAATCGCCCCAATGAAATGTACTCTCTGTGCAGGTGTGAGACGGTATTTCTTGTGATTGATCTGTAGACCGAGAGTGCCCAATATATCAACAGTCCGGCAGATGTCTCTCTCTAGGTCGTCCTTAGAATCTGCTACCAGTAGCCAATTGTCTATGTATGGGAATACTAGTGTACCTTGTAGACACAGGTAAGCTGCTACCACAACCATCGTTTTTGTGAAGACCCATGGAGTGGTAAACATTCCAAATGGGAGTACTTTGTATTAGTAGTGGCCGGTTCCTATAGCAAATCTCAGGAATTGTTGATGAGGTAGCCAGATGTTGAGATGAAAATATGCATCTTGAAAATCTAGTGTAGCCATTCAAGCATTTGGTTTGAGATGGAAGGATATTCTGCAAGGAGACCATATGGAACTTGTGCTAGATAACAAACTCATTTAGAACCATGATGGTATGGAAGCCACCATCCTTTTTTGGGATTGTGAAGTATTGGGAGTGGAAACCCTGGCCCTTGGATTGAGGGGGGATGGGTTTGATGGCATCTTTTGCTAGAAGGGTCTGGACTTCATCCCATAAGATCTGGGAACGAGGGGTACTGACAAAAACAGGGATTGAGGGTTCGCTGTGGAACTCTATCATGTAGCCACTGGAAATGACTGAAAACACCCATTTGTCCAATGTTACCCTCCGCCATTCCTGGAGGAAGGGAGAAAGGCGTGTTCCCTTGGGGTGGGAGCAAGGTGACACAGGCAAGGGTGACCGGGTGGAGGAAAAAGGTCCTGTTTGGATGTTCTGGAGCCTTTGGATCTGGGGGTTTGTTGGCCTGACTGAAACTTTGATTTCGTTTAAGGGTGGCAGATGCTTGGCTGTGATTGTTTGACTCTCCAAGGTTGCTCTGGAGAAGATTTAGATTATTGTCGTTTGGACAATGGGCAGACTGTTACTTATGCATATACATGTGGGGCCTGTTACACCAAGGCTGTGTGAAGTTCTAATACTTTTATCCATCTCCTGAAGGACCATATCAGTTGTAGAATGGAATAGGCCTTGACCATTGAATGGTAGGTCTTCAATGCAGAAGGGAGTGTCCTGTGGGAGTGACGTGGAGTAAAGCCAAGAATGCCTATGCAAGGTTAGAGCAGATGTGATGGTCTTAGCAAAAATATGCTTGGAGGAATTCAACTGCTGTTTTGAAAAGAGCATGCTCTCCTTTTGGAGATGTCTAGCCAGAAGGTGTTTATCTTCAGGAAGAGTAGGGAGGACTTCTGACAGCTATTCCCAAAGGGAGTACCAGTATTGTCCCATACAGGCTAAGTAGTTTGTGTTCTTGACTCCTAAGGCACCAGCTGAATAAAATTTTCTGCCAAATTTGTCCAGTTTCCTGCCTTCTTTGTCTACTGGGGCTGAATGAGTACGTTTGCTTTTAGAAGCCGAGGTGACTACTACTGAATTGGGTTTGGGATTACAAGAGAGAAATTCAGTACCTGTTTCTTGAATTTGGTACATTATGCTCTAAACATCTGGATGATACTGGTGTAGATGATGGTTTGTCCCATGGAGCTTTAGCTGCTTGGAGAATCACATTGGTTATTGGTAGGAAAATGGCCGTGGAGGTGTTAGAAGAAGAAGAAGTTTAGAGGGAAAGTAAGGCTAATCTCACAAATCTGTGACGAAGTTCACCGACCAGGTCGAAGAGAGACTGCTCAGTGTCGTGGTTAGAAGAGAACTGGCGGGAGATCCAGGCTCTGTCCCTGTAGGCATGTGCGGTGGAGCCCCACTTGTGTCTTGGGGGTGGAGCATGGGAAAAAGAGGCTTTAGGTTTGTTGAATTACTGATAGGTCAGGCACAGGCGCCCTGTCAAGCTTGAGCCTCGCTTGCCATAGACTGCTGTCCAGCCAAACTCCTGATATGTTGCGTTAAGGCTTAACTGCTTTCTTAGACATGCTTCTTTCACTGTTTTTATCTCCAGTGCTATCTTCTCTGCCAGGATTGGGGGGGGGGAGTGGATGCTGGTGTGAGCTTACTTGAGCTTGCATAGTGCGTGCGAGACCCTGGGAAGTGCATGACCTCAGCTTCTCGCTTGACCTTGGAATGTAACCGTTAGTTCGCAGGTGTTGGGTTGCCCCTGAGGGTAGGTTTAGAGCTTTGGTGAGCTGACTGCAAACAATGATTGGGTGGTTTGCATACGGGGGCTGTCCTGCATTTTGTATAGGGTCGGACCTGGCATCCGGTGGCCAGTTCTGACACAGAATCTGTCTATGCTTGGAATCTCTTTACCTCCAAATAAACAAATCTTGCTGCCACAAGAGTGTCGTGAGAGTGATTGAGTCCAGGACTTGACACGCCCTTTATCCCACAAGTGTGAGGAACAGAGACCATGAAGATTTCTTGGTTCTTATCAGTGAGAGATAGTTGATTGAGTACTTAAGTTTAAGTTACAATGTTTCTGCATATTGTTTCCTATTAACTGTTCAGATTTTCTGGAAAGGTCAGTCTTTTAGTGTATCAAATTCTTTCCTGAAATTATAATGTTTCTTCTTTCCTCTGAGTAGTCTATAACCATTTTCTTTCATAACAGATCAGGGACTGCCTCAGTGCTATTTCCTTGTATAACTGGACAGGACTTATATTTCTTCCCTAAAAATATAATCCTATTCCTTTTGGCCTGATTGAGAGCTTCAGCCTGCTACCCAGTCACTCTTTGCCAAAATCTTGGCATCTGTGTGAAAAAGTACTTCAGCTTTAGCTGAGACTAGATTCTGAATTCTGAGATGGAATTTTTTCTCAGGTTATGTTTAACACAGCTAAGACCAGGAATCTCTCCATTTATTCAAAAGGTGAACCTGCCTGACTGACGTTTTAGTCAGACCTTTTAGACATCCACTCCTTTAGCTGTACTAAACAGTAACTGCCATGAACTCAAAACGAACTCACTCTCCCCTCAGCACACAGCTGATTTTATATTTCCTTCAGCTGGTTCTGGCCAATCAGAGAAATGGAACACCCTGTCACTCAAGCTCAACATTCTAGAGCAGAGTTAACTATTCATCTCCTTTTTCTGATTTTGCTGCATTTTAATGTAGTCCGTCACAGAGACAAACCACATCAAGGCTTGGGAATAATACTCCTGATTATAGTAAGAAAACCGAACTAATTAAAAGTTCAGCCTTTCAGAGTCTACTATAAAAAAGGATGATATTTTTTAAAAAGTAAACTGCCCCATATGGTAAAGGAGGAAGCTAGTTACACAGATGAAGACTTCAGATTTTTTTTTTTTAATGAGATTACCTAGGAATGAGGCTTTATTCTGAAGCTAATTCAGTCACTGGATATGCAGTCTTAACTTGGAACTTAGGAATCATGGGTCAATAGTATATACGCTTTGCAGGCAGGTCTCTAACATCTCCATTTAAAAGACCTTTACTTAAGACCTTGGTCTGATTCAGTACAAGGTAGCTTCATATCCACAGCACCCTTCAGCACATAACAACTGCAGAATTTAGTGAACAGTGAAATGGGCATCAAATATCTTCTCCAGCCAAGTGATATAAACAAACTCATGTTCTGAGGTGACTGGTTTACTAGGCATGGAACATTTTTCTTGCATGCACAAAGCAGTATTTGTTTTGTATCCAGTGGTCATGAGTCTGCAAGGTGTTGAGTCAACAACTACCAAGACTGTATGTCCCAGTAAGCCTACTAAACTAGCCAGTACAAATAGCAGATTAAGCATCAAATTTTTAATGTTGCCAACTCATCGTTTACAATAAAGAAATCAGTGAGATTTTAATTTTACTAGTTCGGGCAATTGTGACATCTTGCCAAATAATAGATTTAGACAGAACATCCATTATATTGTATTGTTGAGAGCTTCTTAACAGTAATAATAAAACATTCTCACTGCTCTTGTCATCCCTTTTTTCAGCTTGGTAGGCAAAAATTATAAATGGATTCATGTAGAATCTATTATTAAAATAATCAGCAGCCTACAATTAAAAAAAGATAAGAACATACAAAAAATAGCTGACATCAGAGCAGGATAGACAGGATTAGATCCTGCATGGCTTCAAGTGCAAATAGATCCCTCTGGGACTTTATGGATTAGTATTCTCTCTCTCTCAGATACTGCTCAGAATTAATGAGGGTACCTGCAACAATGCTGGCAAGCTGCTGAGTTCTGGTGATGGGGTATATGCTGCGTGCCTGAACAATCGCTGAAGCTATTTTCTTGGCGTGCATCTCCTCCCCATATGTTCTCAGGATGGACGCAAGTGCCTGTTGATCTAAAGCATTCACAACATCAGCAGCGGTGGGCATGTCAGGATACCTACGCACAAGAACAGCCAATTAGTTCACTGACGTCAGGTTTCATTGACAAGGGGTGAAGCTTCACAGCATTGAGACATAAAGTCAAACACACATACTCACTGCATACAAGTGCTTCTGAAATTTTAACATAAGAGGCAGAAATCATTCTAAAGCAGAAATAGCTTCTACCTTGCAAATCACACTTCTTATTAATTCATATAGAGGCTTTCTCCCCTTCTCTTCAACACCCTAACATTAACTCACTGCAGAGAACAGTTGAAATGTCATTGTATCATAAACTTTGACATTAGAAGAAATAGGTTTAGCTCAAGCATAATTCAAGAGACAAAATACTGCAAAAGCTGCCTTTGCTTGCATAATGCCAGGACATGAACTCATTTTACAAGAAGATATTTTTCCCCAAGAAACCACATTGCTTTATCTATTTCCTGATCAGAAAAGAGAACCTTAGTCTCTGTGACCTTTTCCATCACATCTGGTGTTATGAAAAATGATCTTCTGAGAAGAAAATGTGAGGTATTTAATGATCATTTAAAAGGTCTCATAATTCAGAAATGGTATATCTTTTGAAAGAAAGATATTGGAAATGATCAGTCTGGATAACATTCCCAGAGAGTAACAGAATAATTAGCATTTCTTTAATCTTTATAACTTTCCTTATTGGAGTGGTTGGAACAGTTTTATGTACACACTGCCTCTGGACCAGAGACCTCTGTGCTCCTTGTGGGCAAGAGTGATCCATTTAAACGCTGGAGTACCTATAACCACAATAAATAGTTCAAGGCAACTGCATAGACATATACTAGCATTAAAAAGAGGCAATAACCTCCTTTAGGGTTGCCAAATCTTGAAAACGGACCGGCGGGGGAGCGTCCTGCCGGTCCGGGAGCCGATCGTGTGCGCGCACGCGCGTGCCGCCAGAGCATCACCGGAAGTGACGTCACACGCTGGGCGGGGCCACGCCATTTGAGGGGAAAACAAAGAGTTTTCCCCTCAAATGGCAGCCATT